GAAATACGGGACGATGCATTTACGCGGAACGCTCCAGACGACATTGTTGGAAGGATTTGGCGGATGCATCAGTCGAGTCCCTGGAAGGTTGGCGATTCGTGGGCCCTACCCCAGTACCAGCAGAGGGATCCAAGCTGACGCACTTTTTGGTAGGAGGGGCAAGAGGATGAACTCCCTGGTGGGCGAAAATTTGGATGGTGCAGCACCAGATTAAAGATGGACTTCAGCAAGCGGGAGCTGAAATACGTGAGTGTCACCGGAGAGTAGGTGATTTGGCTGTTCACTTGTCATGGAGTATCGGCCCTGCAACCAAGGAAGGCAATGGTACGTCTTGCTAAGCCCGGAAGTTGGCGAACAGCACCAGTAACATGGTTCACATGCGCGTCGACGCTGAAGACGGCACGGAAGGGATCTTCATGCAGAAGACAATTCACCGAAGGCATTTACTGCTAGCACCTACGGTCGACACTGTGAAGAGCGGGATGGTACGGATCTCCGTGATGAACGTAGAATGCCGCCGAGAGAAGCTACCGGCAAGAGAGGTTCTTGGAACATGGATACTAGTGATGGAAGGTATGCAGTTGCTAAGGTTTAATGGTGAACTGGAGCGTGAGCGTGTAGCTGAGTGGGTGGAGACACTCCGGAAGGCCGATGCTAAGCCCCTCGAAGATGAAGACAATCTGGACATTGTCGAGATGGAGCCGAAGGGTAGAGGCTTAGTGGCTGCATTGTTGCGACAGTACTCAGGGATCGTGGAGAAGAAACAGGGATGCCCATCATTAGCGAGGATAGGAGTGGAACACAACATCAATACGGTTATGCTGCTTAGAGCTGTCGACGTCTGGTGTATTCGAAGATTTACACCTCGACATCCAGAAATGCAAACGACGTAAAAAATACACCCCTTCGACACCCACCAATGGGTCACTCTTTCGAATTAAGGTGATGCTGTTTGTGGATAGCAACCTCACCAAATCTGGCGTTTGTGTTGAACAACTGTTCATCTTTCAATGGAGGATGACAATGGAGGACCTCCATGGCCGTTCGAAGCTCTCAATGTATCTACTGGTACAGACCCTCAGAGGAACGTCCGATGCGCACGTCGCACAGCGGCAAGCAGGGACTGACAGAAGCTGCAGTACTCGGACATCAATTTGGGCTTCGCGCTGGTTTCGTGCATTCGAGTGCTTCCTGTCATCTGGTCGACATTCCGATGACCGCGTGATAGAAGCTGACCGACAAAGGGTGCACGAGTTTGACGCCAAATCAATTTAGCGGAACTGAATTGGCGCTGGAGATGCCCAAGGAGCTGTGAAAGAAGTTTGGGCGCTTGTATGATCACGGAGCCTGCAAAAAGTAGACACCTCGGCGCTGTAGGAAATACCAAGCCCGTCTCTGATACTGGTTAAAAGCATGTGAAGACGGTTATATCCTGCTTGGCGTCGGAGTGCAATTACATGGCTAATGTGGAGAGGACAAGGAACACTAAGTAAGGTATAAGTTATGAAGCATCTGGCAAAGCTCTGATTTGCAAGCCATGGCTTGAACAAACCCAGGATCTCAAACAATGCTGGCTGGTCGCATATCGCGACTGATCCAACCAGCTATAAATGCCTTCAAAGCGGCTCCGCTCAAATTCTCCTGTCGACTCGAGCAAATGTTTCAATTGTTTTGAGTTTTAAGCTCTTCTGCAAGCCGAGCGCTTTCCTCAAACATTTGCAAAGTATCGGCGTGATATTTCTGCATATGGGGACCAATCTTGCTTTTGCCCTTTACCATCTCCACTACTTCGTCGCAACTTAGGCAATAGAAGCATCTGGCCTGCTCTCGAGTTAGCCCTTCTCTTTTCTCTGTGGCGTGCTTATCGTCCGCGACGCCCTCGACGAACTGATAATACGCCTTCTCTATTTGGTTAGGCACCGGGAAAGTCCGTCCCGCTGGACACTGCGTCACCTTGGTTAGTGCTAGATACTTTCGACTTGCTCAGGCAACGGACGACTCTAGTGCTCGTGATGGCGACCGCCGCGACATCAATACTGTAGGTACGTTCGATCTCGTACATGACTGTGTTGTTCTCAAAGAAATACTTGTAGGAGTAGTTCCTGAGCGTGCTGATCGAGGTGTCCTTGGCGAGCCCCGCCGTGATCGTGACGATTTGGATGGCGCTGTACGTGTCCGTCTTTACCAAGTACATGCTTCGTTTTCTTACGTGGTGCCTGGGTTTGCGGGTCGGGTCTAGTTCTTGTTGGAGGGGTAGCCAGACTGTTCACGTCTGTATCTATCGCTCGCCATGGCATCCGTGATGTTCCTGTCGGCGTCTCCAGCAGAATTATAGAATGGGCCTATGTCCCGATGAGTTAAGCACATGTTGCTGACGCAGTGTCAATGGGTGCAAAATGAGCGGTACGGTGAGGATCTCTTTAGAAGTGGGGGCCATACGCATGGTATATATGGCAGTCAGCAGGCTGAAAAATGGCAGGTTAATGATGGGCTCTTTCGCATAGTTTTGACCAATAACACTACGAGAAACACATGGGTGTCGGCGTGGTGCAACGCGACATCGAGTGCAAAAGATCGGACGTCCGGCGTCGTCGACGTCGAATCGGTGCCAAGGGTCGCGACGTCGACAGCTCTAATGCTGCTTTGATCATGATGCAAAGGCGCCGGAACGCGGTGGCAGAAAACGGGCTGATCGGCAAAGAGGCTAACGAAATGTTGGAACAAGGAGTGATCGAGTACGCTGAAGGTGCATGGGGATTTCCAGTGGTTATCGTCCAGAAGAAGGACGGGAGCGTCAGGTTTTGCATCGATTACAGGGCCTTGAGCGCAGTGACCATCAAGGACGTCTACCCGCTCCTGCTGCAGCACCCAAGTACCGATTCAATAGGCCCAAATCTGAGTCGACTGTTTGTGTGACATAATCTAGGTAAACTGTTAGTAAAACTGAAAGGTGAGTATATCCAAAAATAAATATAAATTATAAAAATGGAAATTTATTTAGGTCATGGATGAATTCACGAGGAAGCATTTACGTCGCCGTGATCGTGGTGGCCATGGCGAGAGCAGGACTGTCTCCTAAAGTATTGCTACTAGCGACCACCCGAACTGCATATTCCCGTCCCGGTGTCAGGTCTCGGATCGTGTGCGCGCGCAGTTCGAAGCGCGAGATTCGCCAGGCTTTGGCCTCGTACGTCACGGGGAGATTCACATGCACTGCGACCGGGTTCGCTGAGGT